TCACGAATAGAGGACGAGCTCTTTGGGGGAAGAGTCTGCCAGTTAACTTGGAGCGGTGCCCAGCATGGGAATCCTGCTTGTGAAGAATTCTTGTTTGGGGGTTTTTCATTTGAAAAATGCTATAGCAATTCTAAGAATAGGATTAAACTGGCAAGGGAGGGGAAGGTGGACACTGCGCTGAAGAACAAATACATTCAAGACCCTGCTGTCCCTGACTAAGGCTAAGAAGTAATCTTGGACTTCTCACACGATACTGGAGTGTCCAGATACCAAGCTAGGCCTATGCTGGGGAAGCTAATGCATATTCATGATATTGCATCATTTCTTAACTTGAACCTCAATCTCATTCTGTAATGAGACTACTTCAGAGACTGAGCTTCATGGGAGGGGAGGAGAGATTTCCTGCCTAGCTCTACCAGTTGGTTGGTAGCATGGGAACACAAGCTTCAAGGTAGCCAGCCAGAATGCCACAACAGCAAAACCTGGCCTACTTTTTCTATAAAAGCCCCCAGCACATTCTCCTATTTTTCCCAGAGCTCTCAGACTTCCAGTGTTGCTGGAGCTGGCACCAGGAGGGAAGCTGATAAAGTTTCCCCACTGAACAGAGGTGCCGTGGGACTACTCTAGAGACTTTGATCTCAATGTCCTTTGCAGAGCATGCTCGAGAACAAGCCTTCAAAGGGAAGTAGCTACAATTATTGAGCATTTCTTAAGATGAAACTTGCCCACTGCTGCTTCAGCATCTGTTTGGTCTCTGGCCCTGATGGCTTTCTGAATGAGAGCTAAAGTCTTGCCAGTCGTTTTGTTGAGAAGGGGAAAATGGATTGAGCTGTGGGAAAACCCACCTCCATGCCAGTCAAAATTGGGAAAATCTGAGGGCTTTTCTCCCTACAAAGGTTTTAAGCAAATTCAGTGAGCTTCTTTCAAAAAGTAAATACTGTTTCTAATTTTAGAATCCATTGTCACTGAACTGTTTGAGCTTACCAGGTTTCTAAAATTAAAACTGAAAGACTTCCCTGCTCATCTTATGGCAGTTGCATTTCCTGCCTCCCCCCAGCCACTATTAGCAAGGCTTGTCAGAAAGACAGTAGCAATCTGTCATGATCAGTGAGACAAATATGCAGTGATCCACGCCATTAGCACCACTTCTGCAGCGTGCAGTTTTCATCCAAGCGTTCCAGTCCTGGGGCAGTAAAGACTCTTTGCAGTGAGAAGCTGAAGTCCCTCTTGTAGAGGAAATACACCACTGAGATAAGTGGGTGAGAACTGTTGTTTGTTTTTTTTTTTTTCAGGCCTGTGATTTTGAAATCAGTCAAATGTTACCAGCAATAAAATAAGTAGGATGGCCCCTTCTTGTTAAGAACACTTGGCTGCCGGGACGGAGGGAGGTGACTGAGTACAGTCCCTAGTGCAAGTGTGTTTGACCATGTAAATCATGAAGCCTCTCAAATATCTTCACGCTCTTTTGCAAGAAAGACTAGTGATTCCCTGAAGCTCCTAGGCCATGACTGATCCCAAATGCATCACCCTCTGCTTCTCACCACTGTTGCTAGATTTTAATTCACTGGTGGAAACTTAAGTTGTACTATTGCTGTTACCCTATTTTTTCCTTTCCAGCTGCAGCTGACTTGACTATGGCATCTGAAAAGACCACAAAAAATGATCCGCTAAAAGCTAAGGAACAGCAGCAAGCGGTAGGTGCCAAGACAGCTGGTACTCCAACATGCAGCTGTTAAACTACCTGCTAACGGATACAGTGGTAAACTAACTTCTGTCACCATCTCAAATCCAGGCTGGGAGCAGGGGAAAGATTAACCATATGAAGCCATGACTAAATCTAAACCTTTAGTTAATGCAGAGGCTGACTTTTCTTGCTCAAGAAAGAGAACTCCAGGGCTGGCTCAAGCAATGCACATAATTCTGAAACATTGGCTGGTATAGGTCCTATTTCCAAATCTGGGCTTGATGGTACTAAAGCCTTGTATGACTCAGATGTGACAGAGCTCCAGCTTCTAATTCTGGCTTGCCACTGATTGCTAATGGTTTTAAGACAAGACCCTTCAACTGTGAGCTCGATGAGGAGATGGACTTGATAGCACTTAGGACCTTTCTGGATCTATACATGGTTTGCATTCGCTCACCAACTTGAGGCAGAGTGTCTAATATCACTTATTTCTCTCTTTTAGAGTGCTGTTAGCAGGGTGACCAACCTGCCCTTGCTGAACTCTGCATTCAACCTGGTCTCATCTGCCTACAACTACACCAAGGAGACGCACCCTTGCCTCCACAGTGCCTGCAATGTGGCCGAGACTGTGGCCGCTGTCGCAGTCGGCAGCATGGTTGGTGGTGCACAGCCCATTCTGAACCAACTTGAGCCGCAAAGTAAGTGAAGAGGCTGGAGACGCCCCCCTCTCCCCACAGAGGGGATAGGTGGGAAGGGAGCCTCACAGGCCCTCTGAGGCCCTGGTGACATAGACCAGGCTCAGCAAACACCCTGAGTAACAGGATCAGGTACCAGTCCTATGCCATGAGGTAAACTTCTCACTCCTCATGAAAGAAGGAAGAGGAAAAAAATCAACTTTTTTCTCTTAGCCATATGTAGTCTTCAACAAGTAAACTACCTCTAAATGACATTAGAAGTCTCCTCTTAAAACCATGTCTCTTGCAAAGTCATTCCCACATTATTTTGGCTTATGTGACAAAGCCTAGATAACCACCATGAGCTTAGATGATACCCCTGCTTCGTTAAGGTGCAAGTGATGCCCCTTCTGGGTAACATCTCCTACAGCACATTGTCCTACTTGTAGTATTGCTGACTCCTCCACTGCTCCCAGCCACTCCATAGGCCCACTGAATTTGATGGATAGGGGATTGTCACTAGCAGAAGCCAAGTTTGACCTCATCTGTGGCTTCTTTAAGTGGAGAGGCAAAAGCTCCCTGCTCTGCCTCTATCGCTTCAAGTTGTGAATATCCCATCAGGTAGTATCAGTGTTTATTCTGCCTTTTGCTCAGTTTGTCTCATCCCAAGACAGTAAAAAGCCATTAATCCGCTTCCCTATCCACTGGAAACAAGTACCACGCTCTGGCTGGAGCGATGTGCTCTCAATTGCTAGAAGGCTGGGAAGGCAAAACGAAGAGACTATTTAGCGAGACCCTGACCACCACCCGTACCCCAAACAATGATCTACTTTATTTGCTCTCATGAGCTCATCCTGGATTGGCCATTGTAGGATCAAAAAAGCCTCCAAACTCGAGTAGAGGGACTAACCTGGTACCTGTCCTTCTGTCTAGTTGCACTTGTAAATGAATATGCCTGCAAGGGACTGGATCAGCTGGAGGAGAACTTGCCTTTTCTTCAACAGCCAGCAGATAAGGTAAAGCAAAGGCTTTTTCCAGGGAAGCCATGGCTCACTCTTCTTGCTTGATATAACTGTTATGGGTACAGAAGTATATGGGGAAACTAACTTGGGCAGTGCTGCTTTGTCAGGTCAGTTCCTGGATATGGGCTACAGCTGCCTGAGCTAGAGAAGGCATTGCTAGCTGATGAAAGCCAAGGCTCTGCCTTCAGCGTGTGGAAATAGATTTCCATGTGAATACAGATGTACTGATTTCCTCACCTTTCCCACAAGAGTGCAGGCACAGCATAGCCATGTGAAAAGCTCCCTGAGGGAGGGAAACCTATTCTGGAAAAATGCATCATCTTTCTCTGCCTCACCTTGTTGTAGGTCATCTCAGACACCAAGCAGCTGGTTTCTGCCAAAGTGACATCTGCTATGGATGCTGCCTGTGAGGCAAAAGAAGCAATGGCTGATAAAGTGACTGAAGCGGTGGACCTCACTAAAAATGTTGTTGGGGACAGTGTTAAACTGACCAGGTCAATGGTCACCTCCACTGTCACCAGTGCTATGGAGGCTGCTCAGGGTGCAAAGGAGCTCGTGACTAACAGGGTGACTGAGGCAGTGGACCTCAGTAAACACATTGTGGAGGACAGCATTGGACTGACCAGGTCAGCAGCTGCTTCTACTATCGTCAGTGCTGTGGAGGCCGCTCAGGGTGCGAAGGATCTTGTGACTAACAAGGTGACTGAAGCAGTGGACCTCACTAAAAACATTGTGGAGGACAGCGTTGGACTAACAAAGGCCGCAGTCGCTTCTACTGTTACTGCGGCTGTAGGGGCTGCCCAGGGTGCAAAGGATCTCGTAACCAACAAAGTGACTGAAGCAGTAGACCTAACCAAAGAGGCTGTTCAGGATGGTGTTGAGAAGACTAAATCAATGGTCACTTCTCCAGTCAATACAGCTCTGGATGCTGCATATGGCACCATAACTAGCAAAATGAATACAGCCCTGGAGCACAGCAGAGAGGCTATCCAGGAGGGGGTGGAGCTCACTAATTTCATGGTGACCAACAGCATAAGTAAAGCCAAGGCAATGGGCCAAGCAGTGGCAGGTGGTGTGGAATCTGTCCTGGATATATCAGAAGATCTGGTGGATCACTACCTCCCCATGACAGAGGAGGAGCTGGGTAAGAAAATGCTTAGCTGGTAGCTGTAACTGCAAATCACTTTCCACATGATTAGAGAGCACCTGACACTGCAGGAGTCATCTTTTGAAGCAGATAGGTAGCTCTGAATATCACCCAGTTGGCTTTCTGTCACCACTGACGTGCTACGTGGTATAGGACAGAGTTCAAGCACGTGCTAGCTACTCCTTGGTTTGCCTATCAGCCTCAAGGCAAACAACAACTGGGTACATGCTTCAACCTATTTGTCAAGTCTGCTTATCTGAAGAGAGCCCTTCAAGCTGGGACTGGCCTAGTTGTAATCTCTGAACAACTGCCAACCCCTACCACTTATACAGCGAGATTTAGCTTCCTCCCATGTTTCACAATGGGCAAATCTTACCTTTTCCCCCTCACAGCTGGGAGAGCAGAGCATGGAGACAAAGGAGTGAGGGTAGAGGCAGCTGGGCTTTGCCCTGATGGCTCCAGGGCCAAAGGGGATGGGGCACAGGGTAGAGAAGAGACATCTGTTGACAGCTGGATCTCTGTACCCTCTAGGTCAACTTGCCACTGCTGTTGAGGGATTTGATATGGCCTCTGTGGAGGAGCAGAAACAGCAGCGGAGTTACTTTGTGCGTCTGGGCTCCCTCTCTAACAAAGTCCGCCTCCGAGCCTACCGGCACTCCCTGAACAAACTGCAGCGTGTTAAGCAAAGCACGCAGGATACTCTCTCCCAGCTGCAACTAGCAATAAACCTGGTACAAACACCCTTTTTCTTTTCTATCCCACTCCGCAGAGTCTTCTTTCCCCCTGCTAGCACCCAGATGGAGGTGCTTCCTCCATTCTACACCTAAGGTATGTTTTCTGCTGCATGTCCCTTTGAGTCCCTCCCTGACAGGTAACACTGCAGAATGTGATTCTGGAAGCTGCTTCTTCATAACATGACTCCAGTGCTTAGCAGACAGGAGCGCTTGTGCTGCTTTGTATGTGCTTGCAATGTAACTGTTCCTCATCTCTTTCCATCAGATAGAGCGTGTGAAAGATAAGGTTGGCCAGAAGCTTCTGGACGGGCAGGAGAAGCTCCATCAGCTATGGCTAGACTGGAGCCTGACCCAACCCAAGGGACACCAAATTAAAACTGCCTCCCAACCAGAGGTATCCCTAGAAGGGTGTAATCAGACCTTTTGTGGATAGCGGGCATCTCATCTGCTACAGTAACTGAGCTGTATTCTTTCCTAGCAGGTAGAGTCACGGACCCTAGCTATGCTGCATATCATCACCCAGCAGCTACAACCTGCATATGAGAATCTGAAAGCCAGCATTCAAGGCCTCCCCAGCAACATCCAAGAAACTGTACATCAAGCCACTCAAAGCATCCAGAAGCTCCACACTTCTTTTGCCAGTGCTAAGTCCTTCCAGGACCTCTCTGGCAGCACCTTGACCCAGAGCCAGGACTGTGTGAGGGAAGCCCAAAGATCCCTAGATGACTTGCTAGAATATGTAACTCTCAACGCCCCTCTAAACTGGCTTGTGGGCCCTTTCAGGGCATCAGCCAAAGTATCACAAGACAGCAGAAAGGAGAAGAAATGCAGTATGATGACTGATATGAAATCACCTGCTTTGGAAAAGGGTATGTCACCAAAGGAGGTAGCTGAAGCCCCCAAGGAATCAAAGGGGGCAAACAGGATCCTGGGGGAAGGGTCTAAAGTGCTAGACAGGTTGGAGGAGAAGGTAGAGAAATGCACAGGAGAGGTGACAAAACCTGCAGAGGAGATAGTAACTAATGCACCAGAGGAGGAGCTCTGAAAAATCCCGGTTCTTCTAACCCAAACCCCTTGGCTAGAACTTCTTTTAATCATGTGCCCAGCTGCCAATCTTACAGGAATGCCTCCTGCTCTGACACTATCCCAGGCTTTGGAGGTATGTAGCTGAGCTTACAGAAGATGTAGTTTGCAAGGTGACTTGATAACCAAGGTGGGCTGATTCTGGCATAAAGGTTGCATACCTTTTACTAAAGCATGCTGCATTGAAAGGGAAGATGGGGACCTGTATTTTGGCTTTTTAAATAAGTCAGCACAGCTGTGAATGGCTAGTTCTTGCTGAGAGGAGTTGTAGGAGAGAAGAAATGGTCTTGAAACTTATTTTTAATGTTGGAGCTTTTTTTAATTAATCCAAGCTGCATCTTAAGAGGATGATGCACTTGGCCTCTTTGATACTGTTCCCTCCTGCTACAAGTTTAAAACTCAGCATTACAGACACTACTTCCTTCCTGACTGTGCCACTTCCTGTGAGGCTGAGACATGCAGCAGACCAGGAACAGCTGGGGGCAAGAGGGTCCTTCCCAAAGGAGACCTCTCTTTACAGAGCAGCCAAACACTTTTCCTTCAGAGAAACACTTACAAGGTGGGATTTTTCTTTTGAGCATGCCAACTTTCAGGGAGATTACTTTCTTAATCCATGTAAGTGACTTTAAGGACCGTCTGTTTGTGTTTAAGTAACTCCATGCATGAAACGTTTTGCAGCCATTAAGAAGCTGGTTTATGAGGCAGCTTTTCCCAGGAGTTCTCTACCATGGTTATGGGATATCTTGTCATTAAAATAGGGGTGATGGGTCCTGTTTTCTTCCCACTAAATAATGTTTTTGTAATTATTCTTAGCCTAACTTATTTAGGTAGCCCATGTCCTGGTATGTGAATAGTGCTAATGCTGGAGAAATGGAAAAAGGCAAACAGATTTCAAAATAAAATTTGGACTGTTTTCACATGAATATCTTTCTCTCGTGTATCTAAGGCTGCAGCAGCTCTGATGAGCAAGCAATAGCATCATCTTCTCCCCTTAACCTGAGCCTGTAGGAAGCATTTTAAAGAATTACTTTTCTAGGCAGTTCATCTCCTAATTGCTCTTTTCCCCTCTGGCTTTTCTCCCCTTTGCTAGAACTAAACACTCTGAGCTGGACCCAAGCTCTGCCTCAGTCTTCAGTAGAAAAGTATTTCGACTGTCCTGCCTCCTGGAAGCTTCTGCCTGTACCCCTGGGCTTCAGCTCTGCCCACCCCACTCCCAGCATCAGCCCTACTTGCATCAGTCTCCAGCTCCAACCTCCACCCGACTTGCCTTAACCATCTTTCTGTCCTCCTACTGCTGCCAAACCCCCATGCTTTGAGGAAACAAAACCAAAACTTTCGCTAGACAAAAAAGGTTCGTGTTCAGGGTCTGCTCTCAGCTGCTCGGTGCTACCTTCAGAGGAGGGTAAGTACCGGCAGAGGGCCGGGCTAGCGCCCCGGGCCGCTAATAACCGACCTCATGGTGGGGCGGGGGG